TTTTGAACCCCATTTTTTACAACCAATCAGATTAGACTTGTCACACAAGACCACAACCAATCAAATTAAGGCTTGCTACGCAAGACCATTAGTGTCAGATCTGCGATATGTTGGCTAATATCAACGATTTTGGCCAACAAGTCTTGACTGACTGTGACAAATCATTGATTTGCACGCGCATAAATCCCGCAAAGTATCAACATGTGATCGCTGATCACATGTCTCATTTTGGGATTTACCTATTTAGGATAACACTATAACCAGGCGTTTCAATAGCACTCATATACAGTATAACTGTAAATAAGTAAAATTAGGTACTAAAAGTGCATATGTAGTTTGATATACCATTGTTGTAATTGTAAAGACTCTAATAAAAGCTTTTAAGTCAAAGAGGTTACTTTAACTAATAAAAATAAAAAAAATAAAAAATTAAGTTTTTTAATTTTTTGGATTTTTTTATATATTTTGCAAACTGTACTAAAGTTAGTACAAAAGTAAATTCAAACTATTAAATTTTTTATTTATTTATTTTTTTTTAATATTAAAGTGACCACTTAGACCTCTAGTACTTTATTAATACAATCAGATAGGCTATTGTTTACAATACTAGCTTTATATATTATATCAATATCACAAGAGTACAACTAGTCATATATACAACTTTTAGTTATTTAATTAAGTAGTCTACCCAAAGCATTAGTGCTATGCTAAAAGTTTTATACTAGATGTTATATCTATAGCCTAACTAAAAAACTATCTATTTAAACTCTCTGGCTTTTACTAGTTCATATAATTTCTCTTAATATATCTTTTTTACAGGATAATTTGCTACTTAAGACCCTAAGACTTTAGCTATCAACCCAATTTGGAAGACAATGGTATACCTAACAAAGAGGTATATATTTCACATATATATTTACCTACATGTTTGGTAATTTCTTCCTAACTAGTACATGTTGTACTGCCATTATCAAATTCATATCTCAAGCCAACTTTTGAGATACTACTATAACTTGATCTGTATCTCAAGTCACAACTTTTCTAATTAGTTACCCATTACTTTACTCCTACTCTTATAAGGTTTACAACAACTCCAGTACTCACATTCTGTTTATCTTCTTACCTGCATTCCTTATTGGTCTCTCAGAAGGGTTGGTTTGCCTAGGCTTTAGATGCCTGAAAGATACTCTCTTCTTGGTTCATACTTTTGGAGCATATGGCTTTTTCTTTTGGTATGTCTAAACCAGCAGTTTGGCTAGTATATTTCTCCACTAAAGAACTTGGTTGCTTGGTTTTCCAATCTTAGACCCTGGTTCAAATTCAACCTTCCTGTAGTAATATTGAAGATCACTACTATATCCTACTCGGAACTTTCTAAACAAGCTCCGATCTTTAGTTTTGTAATACAGATTATAGCCACTCGAAATCGCATTACTGGTGTTTAAAGCACTTAGATCATCTATAGACCAACTAATAAAGATCATTAGCAGACATATTTCTTTTTTTCTGAAAATATTGTTTCTGGGATTCAAACATAAAACTTATACCTTTACTATTTGGAAAGAGTAACAACTAGACCTATTAAATTTTTTATATTTATATTAATATATATATTGTATTAAATTTATATATATATTTATATCTTTATATTTAAGTTTTTATATTTATAACTATGCTTGTACTTTTTGTTAAATACAAATATAAGCCCAAATTGCAAACTTCTAATTATATCTAAAGCTAATTTATTAGTTCAATATAAAACTTTTTAAATAAACCTTTCTGGTTTTTTTTTTTTTAATTTTATATATAGTAATTTTCAAAATTTTTTATAAAATTTTTTAAAAACTCTTAATTATTCAAATATATAAAAAATTTTTACAAAAATTTTAAAATTTGATTTAACTAGAATACTAATTAATTAACTTGTATAGCCTAATCTTAAATTTTAATTGGCTATAATGCTTTAAAAATATTTTTAATTTTTATTATTAAATTAATTTGGTTATATATATATAAATAATTTAATTTAAAGTTTAAAAAATTTTTTATTTAAAAAAAACTTGTTTTATATATAGTGTTTTTATTAATCTATATTACTGTATATACAATATATAGTATATATAGTAAGTAATTGTTAAATAATACAAAATTACTATAAAAAAATAAACAAAATATATAATAAACAACTTTTACTAATAAAAGTTTTAAAAAATCTTACTGTGTATACAGTCAACTCCCACCCGAAATAGTCACATTTTCTTGAGACTATATACCAATCATTTAAAGTAATATAAAATTAATTCTCGCTATAATCACATGATGTGACTATTATTATGTTTCTCTCACTATAGTTACATCAAGTTTCTGCCAGACAGTGTAACTATAGCAGGAGTTAACTGTATATAATTTTTATTTAATTAAATAGAAAATTATTTTTTATACTCTTAAATTTTTTTTTAAACTTTGAATGAAGGTATCTCAGCAACTACTAGGCCAAATTTGATGAACTTTTTTTTATTTAAAATCTATGAATACATAGAATTAAAACAAAAAAAAAGTTCATTGAATTTAACTTGGTGGCTGCTAAGATTAAGGATAGGAATCGGTCATAAATTTTTAGTCAATTAGTTAGTCAACTAAATCTATTAGTCATCGACTGACTAAAAATCGACTAATTGATTATTCGACTAGTCAATTAGTCGATTATTCGACTAAGTCGATTAATTGATTTATTCGACTAGTCGATTAGTCGATTATTCGACTAAGTTGATTAATCAATTAGTCGATTAGTCAACTAATCGACTAATCAACTAGTTGAATAATCAACTAATTGACTAATTGACTAATTGACTAATTGAATAATCAACTAATCTGTTATTTAGATATTATATAAACTATGTTAACCAATTAAATTTGTCTATTTACCTTCGATTAATTACATATAATAACTATTTTTAGTTAATTATTCGATCTGATTAGTCGATTAGTCAACTAGTCAACTAGTTGATTAGTTGACTAGTCGATTAGTCGACTAGTCGACTAGTCGATTAGTCGACTAGTCGACTAGTCGATTAGTCGACTAGTCAATTAGTCGACTAGTTGATTAGTTGATTTCGATTAGTAATAATAATACCCCGTGATCTTGATATAGTGATCGGGGTATTAGTCGACTAATAGTCGATTAATCGACTAATGACTATATGATTCCTATCCTTAGCTGAGATACTTCGCTCAAAGTTTTAAAAAAATCAAAAAGTCTATCAAAACAAATTGTACTAGAATTCTAAAATTTCTTAAACTTAGAGCAAGCAGCCGCCATCCAAATTCGATAAACTTTTTTTATCTGAATTCTATGGATCCATAGAATTGAAATAAAAAAAAGTTTATCAGATTTGACTTTGTGGCTGAGATATCATCATTAAAAACTTAAAAACGTCTGTCAATACAGAAGCTGCGTCAAAGTTTTTTCTAAACTTTGAGCGAAGATATCTCAACAACTATCAGATCAAATTCAATAAACCTTTTTTTATTTGATTTATACTGATGCATAGAATTCAAATAAAAAAAAAAATCATCGAATTTGGCCTGGTGGTTGCTGAGATATCTTTACTCAAAGTTTAGAAAAAATTTTTGTATTGATAGACGTTTTGAATTTTTTAAAACTTTGAACGAGATAACTCAGCAATTACCAAGTCAAATCCGATGAATTATTTTTTATATGTATTCTAAGAATTCACAAATTCAAATAAAAAAAAAGTTCATCGAATTTGACTTGGTGGTTGCTAAGATATCTTCGCTCAAAGTTTAAAAAAATTTTGGCGCAGTTTGTTTTGATAGACGTTTTAAATTTTTTTAAAACTTTGAACGAAGATATTTCGGCAACCACAAAGTCAACTTTGATGAAGTTTTTTTATTTCAATTCTATGAATCCATAGAATACAAATAAAAAAAGTTTATCGAATTTGGCCTGGTGGTTGCTGAGATATATTCGTTTAAAGTTTAAAGAAATTTTAGTACAATTTGTTTTGATAGACTTTTTGAAAATTTTGAGCGAAGATATTTCAGCAATCACCAAGTCAAATTCGATGAACTTTTTTTTGTTTCAATTCTATGAATCCATAAATTTCAAAAAAAAAAAGTTCATCAAATTTGGCCTAGTAGTTGCTGAGATACCTTCGCTCAAAGTTTAAAAAAAATTTTAATCTGCAGGGGTATGATTTTTGGGGTATAAAAGCTGCTTTTATACTTTAAAATTACATATTAATTACGTAATATTACTTAGATTAAATTATAATCTAAGATACTGTATGTAAATCGAATCTCTTATTTTCAAAACTTTGAGGTACGTATCAATAACTTACAAGTTACGATATCACAAATTTCGAAAGTAGGTATTTCGAACAATTTAGTGAGGTTCGATTTTCTTGTAATTCGCCATTTTACCCCTATTCGCCATAATGCCCCCTTTATATTATTCATTATTGCCAAAATTTATTTAAAATTTGCTTCGCTTGACCATTCTTAAAATTCCATTTCCACCTATATAAATTATTCTAAGATTCCAAATGGGAATCCAACTATATATACGTATAAATTGACAGCAATATCAATACATAATGAATTATGATCACATATAATTTTACCACTTTCGGTTATTGTATACTGTATATGATGACATACCATATCACATGATGTGCTGTATGATACCACAAAATACGAAACCCTGCAAGGGGAGCAGGAGAATTTAATGTCAAATAACGCATGAATGCATTAACAATTAAGTCTCACACTTCTCTAGATCAAATTTCTTCCGCTTCAAAGAAATTCATTAAACTTTCTTTACACGATGTCATCACTAGAGGTAGTTAAGCCGACAGAGAGTAATTTTGTTCTCCCAACAATACTTGAGAACGAAGAAATTTATAGCGAGCCCGGTACTTTTGAGAAACGTTCTGTTCAAGAGCCCTCGATTTCTGGTAATACTATTATTGCTGAAAAAAATAATACATCCCCCTTACTTAATGTTCCTAATCGTCTCGGAACTCGACCTAATACTCCAGACACTGATATAACTGCGGTTGACTCAATAAATGGCGCATCAGAATCATCTTTGGCACATTCTCACGTTAGTAGGCCAACTACTCCAAGCAGTGATAAAAAGTCTAAACGCAATAATAGCTTATCACCTTCTTCTTCACAACCAAGTATTAATGGTCGCTCACGAACACCTGATCCCGGTAAAAAAACTGTTCGAAGTATCCGAAACAAGGCTAGCAGCTCTTCACTTAGTTCTCGTGCACCTTCAAGGAGTCGTTCAAATACTCCGGACCCAGATAGATCTAATAGTCAAATAAGACGAAAACCTAGTCAACAGTTATCACCAATTGATGGTGAATATGAAATGAAACCATTTAAAGAGCCACTAACGAGTAGTAATTTCATTCATATAGGAGTTTCTGGTGAAATAAATCTTCCAACTGCATATGTGCGTGAAACTACCATTGGAGTATTTCATATATTTAATCCTACTGACAATATAATTTCGTGGGGGTTTTCTCAAGTCGACAGACCCATGTTTCGTCGTTTAGGAACCGCTACAAATGCAGCACAAAAAGTGGACGATGATATTTTTGTCCTTACAAAGCTGGGAGGTCTTCTAAGACCAAAAAATGCAGAGAGGGTCGATGTGAAATTCCGACCTATGGGAGTAGGAACATATATGCAAACATTTGTTTTAGAAGATACATCAGAGGGTGGAACCGGTGGTGTAGACGCAGTTAGCATGAAGTTCCAAGGGGTTGCAACGGAAAATACATTTAGTTCACTATTGCAAAAACACAGGGCTCCAAAAAAGGAAGTAAAATTTGAAGTTGATGAGACAGAAATACGAATTCCAGCTACAAGAGTTGGGAAACAGCGTTCAATGGGGATTAAAATAACTAATGTTGCTAAGGAACCAATTAGACTTTCTTGTAAATGCGAAACAACAACAGGCCCTGGAGGCAAGTTTGTTCTATCACTTCCTATGAATAGTGTTGTGGTTAAGGCTGAGGGATTCTCTATTATACCCGTACGTTTTCAACCAAGAGCTGTTGGCGAAGTAAAGGGTGTTGTTACAATACATGCAATGAATAATGCTGAGGTCAAAGTGGATGTGGTTGCAAAAGGAATCTTAGATCCGACTCAAACAACTTAAGTTTTTATGAAAAGTATTTCCTTAAAGATTCACATAATCATAATTTTTTAGACAATAGATCGATACATAGATGGAGGAGTGATTTTACTGGAAAATCAAGACACATCATTTATTTATGAACTCATGCTACCAAATTTCTTGAAACATACTTAATCGAAGAAAAAGCTAATTGGCTTCGATTACATTTCATACGGATTTATCAAAAAAGCTTTCAAAATAATCAATTTCTAAATTTAGATATTTGTCTCTTTTTTTACTTTATTTTTTTAGATAAATCTATTCGTAACAGCCTGTTTTTAAATTTGCTATCTAATGGAAAATAATCCTCTCGCAATTTTGTATTAATCTTAATACTAACTCTAACCCTAACCTTAACACTAACACTACCCTAACATTAATAGCTGTTATGTAACAGGCTGTTACAATTAGATTTTTTCTTATTTTTTTTTTTGTAGTTGCTCTTTCTTGTAGAATATTTTTTCTTTTAATATACGGGGCAGAATCATCTGTTTATAACTTTTTTTCATCATTTTTACAAACGCTATTTTGTACTTTATAATTCAATCCTTTGATGCCATACATAGCTTTTATGCCATGTTCACGATTTTCTAATAGTTCCATTATCCAATAATTACGAATTAAATAGAATGAATGTACATTCTTTGCAATACCCTTTTTAATGGGTTAACACAAAAAAAAAAACTCGATAGATGGTTATGTTTAAACTCAGGCTACCGGTAACCGATCCAAACCTGCGACTTACTATTATTAACGCCGCCAATAATCGAAACATGATACAACACACTGTAAAAAAAAACTTTCGGTAATCTAGTGATGGGCAACTGCACTATATACGGAGATGTGAGAAAAGCTTTACTATTTTGTAATGAAATTACGTAAGTATAGTAGCAGAAATTACATAAACACTTAAAAAAACAAAAAAACAAAAATTTGTGCACACTCGTTTATTAATGACCAAAAAATTTTCATTTATAAATCAAAAGATTTATTTAAAAAAAAACTCGTGTTATCGTGTATTAAATCGACCGAAGAAAAAAACGTCGAATAAAAAAAAATGCAATTATTTATTAATCTCCAACTAAATCGAACTGTTAAAATTATTATTAAATAGCATTATTGCTTTACCAATATATTGTGAATTATTATTATTCCCGGCACTATACAATATTGTTCAGTTGATATGAATTTATTCATCGCTAAAACAACGTTCACCTTGGGAAATCTTATCATTACCCCACCATTCTGGAAATGGTATCTTAATAAAGAATAGACAATGATATGTGAAAATCAGCATGAAATTGCAGCTGTAATTGTATTAGATGATCAACTTACCTTAAAAACACCATTGAGACAAAAGAAAATAGTCATTGTCGCAATTTGTGCAGCACTATCAAATGCCGCTGATAATACGTAATTATACCTATCATGCATAAATAGGCATATAAAGTAGTGAATCAGTATTACTTCACACTGTCATTAAACCCTTAACACTAAACGCACTTTGTCCACCATCTATAAATAAAGTAAAATATATACAAATTAGTATAATTATTATTAATTTGCTTTTTTCAAAGCTATGTCGACCTTAAGCTTACCGAGTTTTATACCGATACGCGTAATACTGACTTAAAAAGCTAGCAATAAATCCTGAGATTATAAAATTTGTATAAGTTCCGGGAAGTGTGCTTAATCCAGTGCATATCAATGGTATATTCACAAGATCAAATCTAGCCTTTGGGAATTTTCGATGAAGTAGGTAAAATGGTACTGGCGCAAAAACACCAATAAGAAACCCCCAGAGAAGTGTGCCGTACATTGAGTCACGCTATTGAAAATAAAGATGTATGAAATTAATATGCAAATAAGGAAATAAGGAAAAAAGGTTTATTAAATTGACTTACTCCAAACGTTCTTGCAGGTCCAATCAATCCCCATACTATAGATGCAGTGTTGAATATTTGTGATTGATATCCTGTGAACTATTTATGCAAAAAATTATTAAGGATAAAATTTCTGAAACTAACCAAAGAGATAATTAAAAGAAACATACTTGACCGGTTGGATCACTCAATGTGCCATCAATATAAGGTCGTTTTGTCGCAATTATGAGATCCAATATCCAATAATTTACAAATCCGCCAAGAATTGTACCCCATAATTGGGCTACAAACATACTCTTCGGAGGGACTTTCATATAATGACCTTTTTAGTAGCGAAAAAAAAACAGGTTTCATAAATCAGGTTAATTATATAACTTAATAAATTTTAGAAAATTATACATACCCAATTTTAGATCAGAGACAAGTAACAAACATTGATACATTGCCATATATCCATAACATTTAAAATATACATTGGCAATTGGACGGCCAGGTAAAACATAACCGCACACCATTTCGGTTATCACATTTAAACCGATCTGATTATTTGAAATGGCTTGAATAACGCCTATTGGAAAATAGGGCGTATTTTAAATTACGTACCTAAATATAAGATTTTGTGTATAATACATTTTTTACACTCACCTACAGGAAGCACCATGCCTATGGCCAAAGAAATCGCCATTAATAACCCCCACCAAGGTAAATTTGCATCGGTTGTATAGCAGAGAATCATTGCGACTATTAACATGATAATGAAAATTAACGCGTACCAAGTATTTGGTATTTCTGTTATACGTATAAGCAATATATGCGTGTATCAATATTAACCCTTTTTTTTCGAAATTGATGCCGAAAAGATTTAATATCAACAAAACCTGGATAATTATTCATCAATTTGCAATGAATATCATCTTGTTCTTCCTCACGACTAGCTTTGAATCGTTGCCAAATCTCTTTACCGTAAAATAAGAACACGTGACTGAGTACCGCAGAAAGTCCGATAAAAGAGTAAAGATAAGAAAGGGCAAATGTAACGGATAGGTACACTGGGCTATAATTCTCATAAGCAGTAGCATTGAGAGTTCCAGTCGAATGATCTATTATGGCAGATTGGTTGTATCTGAAAAAAAAATAAATAACAATGAATGTGATAAATTGATACAGTATACTGTAATTAATTAGAAATTGCTTACCTTTGACCATGTTTGTCCAATGAATAAGTAGCAAGGAATGGAAAATTTTGGGCGTCACTAAATAAAATTTTTAAATTAACTTTTGAAAAATTCATTATATACCTAAATATCGAGCTGAATAACTACTCACAAGACATTATAGTAATACGCCAATGGAGCGATAATCCACGCACCAATGATGATACCAAAATATAAATTCACTTGAGCCCACCTGAATTACAAAAATTTATATCTATCACATACCATATTAAAAACAAATAAACATCAAATATAAAGTCTATATTACCAGGGAGTATATAAAGGACCAAGCTGTCCAATAGAATTCCAATCCAATGAGAAATTAAGAATACCAACACCGTGATACCCACTCCCTAATTGTTTAATAATTTTGCTAGACGGTGCGATAAGACACAATAGAGCCATGCTAGTCAACCAAGTAAACATATATTGTGGCACAAATTGCCAAACAAACATGGCAGTAAAGGCAATAGCAAAAAACTTAATCTTGTCACGTGTTTCAGAAACGTTGCCATGTAACGTGTTGTACATGGATGCGTAGACAAGATTCGAAGGCCATATCATATTAGCAGGGCGGACTAAGTCTAAATATAGTATTATTGGAGATTAATTCAATTAACATTAAATGTAAGACGAGAAGTCATTGGTTACCGCGAGTGATACTTACATTTACGAAGAAATCCAGCTAGCCCATATCCAAGGATTTGTGTGCTCATCAAAAACAAAAATCCATTGAAGAAACTGACTTTAGTATTATAGAAAAGATCTTTGATAGCGATAATATCCTACATGAAAAGAGTGAAGATACAATAAGGATTAGTCAACATGAAAACGAAAACGAAAACGAGACAATGATAAATTATAAGATCAATACCGTAGCATACGCAGATCCACCTCCCGCAGCAGCCGCAACAAATATACACACGTGTTCCTTTACATTGAAAGGACCTGTAACATCGTTACACAATGTGAGAAGTTTAATAAACGACCACGGATACAAATATTTGTAAAGTTAACAAACCTGAATTAAGACTAAATTTCCAGTTTATAAATTGAAAAGTTCGTGTAGGTAAAAATTTTTCCATCCACTTTCCCAAAATATATGATACAAGTAATACAAAAAACATGGAATAAACGCCACCATTTGGACGAAAGTAGTAAAATTCTGACAGCGTGGCACCTAACGATGTGAACAACTATATGAAAATTCGCAATCAACATGATTACTAAAAATCACATGATTTATTTCAGCTTAAGCTTTTTTTTTACACAGGAATTTCTAAAGTTGCTGTATAATAAATAGCTTTAGCAAATAAAATGATAAAAATCAGATTTCCATACTACACAATTTAAGACTTACACTACTTAATACCCAAAACCGAAAAGTTAAGCATGGTAATGTCATATCATCCCTTGTGCTAACGGCCTAAAATTTTTCGGATCAAAAAACTTAAATATAATATAATTAATGAAAGGATAATAATAGTCGTTATTTGATAGTTTACCGCTGCGACCATAGGAATGTGAGAATTTTCATCATCTAATTTATTTTCAAAATCTTTTTCTGGATCATGAACTTTTCTACTATCGACGGTATCTATGATACTAATATCCCCTTCAACAAAAGTTGAAGCTATTCCATCATTCTTTTTGCTAGCTGAAAGGCTTCGTTTATCATTAGCTTCCATAGCCATCTCAAATCAACAATTGATACGTGAAAAAAAATTTAAAAATCAAAGTTCAATTTATTGCTATCTCATCAAGTATCTCGTGTAGTAGTTATTATCTTTTGAAACAGATTGGGTTATTCTCACAATTCGAGTTTTCAATCAATTTTAATGTTAATAAATATGTATGTTTGAAACCGTTTAATTGTGCAGTGTCA